ACAGTGCACTCCATAAAAAAAATTCTATTTTTATCAATTTCTCAGTGAGTATAGGCAATATAGATATATTTACTAAAATAATATTGTAGTCATCAAACATATTTGGAAATAGAAAGATAATACATTTAAATTCACGTATTATCAAACTTTGAACAAAATTTTATATATTTTTTGTTTCTCTTGATTTTTTGTCTTTTAAATATTTTTATTTATTGTTTTTTCCCCAACAAATAAGTTTACTGTTATCATAAGTTATGTTATTAGAGTAATTAATTAGACTAATTAGACTCAATATTTACTTTGAATGATTATTAACTTTTTACAATGTTTAATGCAAAAAAAAATAAAAAATGCAACCAATTTTATTTTATGACCTTCTTATCACAAATAATAAGTCTACATGCTAAGATAAGTAAGTGAATGCTCCATTTGTTCATGATTAGACTCTTACCCACAATGAGGCGCTCAGTGTCCGGCAGCTGCTTAAAGAGTTTCCGGAAGTCTTCATTACGCTGCTTATATGTGGGACTGAGGACCTTTAAAACACACACAGCAGCAGGTGAGAAACACACACACACACAAACACACACACACACACACACACACACACACACACACACACACACACACACACACACACACACACACACACACACACACACACACACACACACACACACACACACACAGGCTGGTATATTTGTGCCATGCAGCAGAAGAGGGAGTTCATTCTTAATGCGGCTTCACATTGTTTCACACACACTGAGCGCTTCATTAATAAATACAATCGCTTCAGCTTATGATAAAATGCCCTGAGATCAACTGTGCTCCTTCACATACACTGTTGACATTGAGGTGAGGAAAAATCAAATAAAACAGAAAAACGTAAAGTTCTAATAATAATAAGTAGAATTATTATTAAGTAGTAATAATATAAAGTAATAATGATAATTAAAATGTACACACGCACACACACATACACCCACACAAAGTAAAACTTCTAAAACATGTTTTTACTAATTTCTCTAATATTATAATGTGTAGGATATATTGTTATATTATAATAGTATTATAAAACATACATAGTGAGTGTAATGTATATATTATATTACATTATATTACATTATATTATTATGTGTATTATATATTATTATACATATTATAGTTGTATTATGACACATGTAAGGATAAACATTGTCAGTATAATGTATATATTTTATTACATTATATTACTAGATTATATTATATTATATTATAATGTGTATCATATATTACTTTACATATTATAAAAGTATTATAACACATGCAGGGATAAACACAGTGAGTGTATATTATATTATATTATATTATATTATATTATATTATATTATATTATATTATATTATATTATATTATATTATATTATATTATATTATATTCCTAAAATTTAAAAACAAATTTCCTCTGAATTTCCACCAAATTAAATACCTAAAATATAAAATAAATGCATATTATATATATTAAAATGTGTTATTTTTTCTTATATTTCTATAATTTTTCATGCTCTCTAACCCATTCTCCTGCTCATCAATGTGCTCTACACTAGCCATCTAGTTTCCCCATTGAGAGACTTACAGCAGGGATCTCCTCATCCTCATCCTCATCCTGATACGACTTTTCCCTCAGGCTCCACCTCAGGTCCAGATCCCAGTCTGAGCCCTGAATTAACCATCCGGCCAGAGCCTCCTCCAGCTCCATCAGCGTCTCCCAGTCCTCCTGAGAGCCAGAAGATGAATCCATATCTCTTTTAATCCCGCTGAGCTTTCAGATGATCACTGACTCGGTCTTTAAGATACGTATGTGTTTGTGTAATTGTTCATCAGGCTGTGCGAGGCTTCATCCACATGATTCCAGTGCGGAAACTCACATGCAAGTGGCCTACAGTAACCTCTGCAGACAGATGCTTTATTATGCTGCTGTTTGTTCCAGTTTCAGACGAAGAAAACATCTATAAGGCTTTCTGTCTCCATTATTCAGACTGCAAACGCTGTGAAGGAGGTACATGAAGCTTTTTCCTCAAACAATCATTGAGTTTTACCTCAGTAAATCTTCATTGCAAACAGTTCTGCAAGTTTAATCCATGCAAGACCTGATTCTTCTCAGTTCTTCAGAGTATGTATTTGTTTTCTGCATGTGTTGTCAGACTTTTGAGAAGAATTATGATCTTCTACACCAAATTCCTTCAATTATGTCCTTGTTTTGATTATTTAACACTTCAGTTGCTTCTTCTCTTCAAATCGAAGAATGCTTTAAAAAAATCAGTAAGAGTCTCTGTCTAGATTCTTCAGACTCCAAACACTGTGACTAAAGGGTCAGTGAAGGTGGAACATGAAGCTTCTTCCTCAAACAATCATTGATTTTTACCTCAGTACGTCACTAATATCTCCAGTGCAAACAGTTGGACGTTCTTTCTGGAAGTTTAGTCCATCCTAGACCTGATTCTTCTCAGTCTTTAAGTGTTTGTACTTGTTTTAGCAGGTGTTGTCAGACTTTGGAGAAAAATTCTGATCTTCTACCCCAAATTCCTTCAGTCATGTCCTTGTTTTGATTATTTAACACTTCGGTTGCTTCTTCTCATCAAATAGAGGAGTGCTTCTTCAATCCTTCAGACTGCAAACGCTTGTCTAAAGGTTCAATAAAGGAGGAACATGAAGCCTCTTCCTCAAACAATCATTGATTTTTACCTCAGTATGTCACTAATATGTCCATTGCAAACAGTTGGACGTTCTTTCTGGAAGTTTAGTCCATCCTAGACCTGATTCCTCTCAGTCTTTAAGTGTTTGTACATGTTTTAGCAGGTGTTGTCAGACTTTAGAGAAAAAATTATGATCTTCTACACTAAATTCCTTCAGTTAGGTCCTTGTTTTGATTATTTAACACTTCGGTTGCTTCTTCTCATCAAATAGATGCATGCTTCTTTAATTCTTCGTTGATTTTTACCTCATTTTACCTCAGTACATCACTAATATCTCCATTACAAACAGTTGGACGTTCTTTCTGGAAGATTAGTCCATCCAAGACCTGATTTTTCTCAGTCTTTAAGTTTTTACTTGTTTTTTGCAGTTGTTGTAAGACTTCAGAGACGAACTATGAGCTTCTACACCAAATTCCTTCAGTCATGTCCTTGTTTTGATTATTTAACACTTCGGTTGCTTCTTCTCATCAAATAGAGGAGTGCTTCTTCAATCGTTCAGACTGCAAAGTGTGACTAAAAGGTCAATAAAGAAGGAACATGAAGCTTCTTCCTCAAACAATCATTGATTTTTACCTCAGTACGTCACTAATATCTCCAGTTCAAACAGTTGGATGTTCTTTCTGGAAGTTTAGTCCAGCCAAGACCTGATTTCTCTCAGTCTTTAAGTGTTTGTTCTTGTTTTACCAGGTGTTGTCAGACTTTAGAGAAAAATTATGATCTTCTACACTAAACTTCTTCAATTACGTCCTTGTTTTGATTGATTAAAACTTTAGTTACTTCTTCTCATTAAATAGAGGAGTGCTTCTTCAATCGTTCAGACTGCAAACGTGTGACTAAAGGTTCAATAAAGGAGGAACATGAAGCCTCTTCCTCAAACAATCATTGATTTTTACCTCAGTATGTCACTAATTTGTCCACTGCAAACAGTTTTACATTCTTTCTGGAGGTTTAGTTCATCCAAGACATGAATCTTCTCAGTCTTTAAGTGTTTGTACTTGTTTTCTGCATGTGTTGTCAGACTATTAAGAAGAATTATGATTTTCTACACCAATTTTCTTCAGTTATTATGTCTTTGTTTTGAACATTTATGCTTATCCACAACATTTCAGTTGCTCCTTCTCATCAAAAAGAGGCAAAGAACATCTGTAAGAGTCTCTGTCTTCATTCTTCAGACACCAAACGCTGTGACTAAAAAGCAGACGAAGAAGGAACATGAAGCTACTTCCGCAAATGATTACTGATTTTTGTTTTTACCTCAGTACACTAATATTTCCACTGCAAACCAGTCTTTCTTTAAGTTTAGTCCATCCAAGACTTGATTCTTCTCAGTCCTTGATTCTTCTCAGTTTGTACTTGTTATTTGCAGGTGTTGTCAGACTTCAGACAAGAAAAATGAGTTTCTACATCAATTTCTTGGGTTGTAATGTCCTCATTTTGATTGTTTATGCTTTTACGCAACACCTCAAACTCTACTCAGTCGCTCTCTCTCATCAAATAAAGGCATACTTCATTAAAAAACATCTGTAAGAGTCTCTGTTTTGTTTCTTTAGACTCCAATTGCTGTGACTAATGTATCATTGAGGAAGGAACACGAAGCTACTTCCGTAAATGATCATTAATTGTGGCACTAATGTCTCACTGCAAACAAATTGAAGTTTTTTTTTAGAAGTTCAGTCCATACATGTGATTCTTCTCAAACCTTAAAGTCAATATTAGTTTCTGCATGTGTTTTTAGACTTCAGAGATGAAAGGTGGTGTTCTGTACTAATTTCTCCCTGGGTTGTTAGGTCCTCGTTTTGATCATTTGTGCTTTACACAACAGCTCAGACTCTACTCAATAGGAAAACACTCTTTAAGGGTCTTCTGTCTTCATACTATGAACACTGTGAAGGAACATGAACTACTCCAACAAATGATTATTATTTTTTACCTCAGTGTGTCACTAATATCTCCACGGCAAACCAATTGTTGGCTTAAAAAGAGAATCTTTCTGTAAATTTAGTCCAAGTCCATTCAAGTTTTACTTCTCCTTTTTTGCAGGTTTTGTCAAATTTCACAGAAGACAGTCTTTGGTTATTATATACAACTCCTCAGACTTTACTCAGTCACATCAAACGGAGAATATTAATCTGCAGTTTGTTCCAGTTTTGGTCTCTGTCTTGATCCTTCAGACTCCAAATGTTGTGACTAAAGAACTGATGAAGAAGAAACATGAAGCTAAAATCTTTGATTTATTTATTTTCTTTACCTCAGTGTATCACTAATATATCCACTACAAACCAGTTTTGGGCTTTCAAGGAGGTTCTTTCTGGAAATTTAGTCCATCCAAGTCATGATTCGTCTCACTGTTCACTCTTTCCTGCAGCTGTCAGACTTCGGAGAAAACAAAAAGGTCTTCAACATTCAACACAGGCCACAAACTCTACTCAGTGGCATTAAACTGAGACATGCTTTATTATTCTGCAGTTTGTTCCAGTGTCAGACTCTGTCTTGATCCTTCATACTCCAAACAATATGACCAAAAAAGTAGATTAAGCAGGAACAAGCTTCCCCACCGAATGATCATCAATTGTTACCTAAATGCACAACTAACATCTCCACTGCAAACCAATTGTTGGGTTTTCAAAGAGATCCAATCCAAGCATGTGATTCTTCTCAATCCTTATGAGTTTGTAGTTGAGAGAAGATGGTCTTCTGAACCAATTCTTATTGGGTTGTTCTGCAGTTTGGCTCAGTTTTAGACTGTTTCTTGATTCTTTATACTCAAAACGATGTGGCTAAAACAGCAGATGAAGTAGGATCATGAAGCTACCTCCGCAAGTGGTCATCAACTGTTACGTAACTAAATGAGCGATGAATATCTCCACTGCAAACCATTGGGTTTTTAAAGAGATCCAATCCAAGATGTGTTTCCTCTCAATCCTCACGAGTTAGTACTTGAGAGAAGATAGATGATCCTCTATACCAGTTCTCCTTGGGTTGATCTGCTGTTTGGTTCAGTTTCAGACTCTTGAAAACTCCAAACACTATGACTGAAAAGCAGATGACGTAGGAACATGAAGCTTCATCCGCAAATGATCAACAACTGCCACCTAAATATCTCCACTGCAAACCAATCGTTGGGTTTTCAAAGAGATCCAATCCAAACACATGATACTTCTCAATCCTTATGAGTTTGTACTTGTATATGAGAGAAGATTCCAATTCTCCTCGGGTTTTTATATCCTTGTTTTGATTGGTTTATGCTTTAAAACAGTGCCTCAAATTCAACTCAGTAGCTCTCTTTCATTCAGGATCCTAAAGATAACCACGAACAAAGGCTGACACATGATCTACCGCAGCTAAAATGCTGAGAATGGAATTCTGCATATGCGATCGTCCCAAAAACAACACGTCCATAAATGTGAATGAACCCTTCCAATGGCAGAAGACACTTGGGAGCACAACACAACACAACCCTGTCTTTATGTAGGGCTGTGTTTAATTCTGTCGATGTGTATGTAAAGGTGGTTATATATTAACTAAAAGAGTAAATAATGAGAGCCGCTGGTGGCTGGTACCAAGAGTGGGTGTGATGATGACTACAATAATGTCATCAGATACTCTTTGTTTTCGAACGTCACTGTGAGTCAATGTCTAGCGTGCGGATTATACACTGACTTTAGGGCTCAAGCTGTCTTTTACAAAGCCAAAACATCAACATTAAAGGGACAGTTCACTCATAAAAGAAAATTCTGTCATCGTTTACTCATCCTTTATTTATTTGAAACCTTTATTAGTTTCCTTTTTCTGCTGACCACGGGATGTTTCTTATTTCTATAGGATATATGCAAAGATATTTTGAAGAAAACGTAAACATTTAACCATTAATTTCCATAGTAAGAAAAACAAATGCTATGGAAGTCAATAGTTTTTGGATTTCGACAAAATATCTTCTCTTGTGCTTACCAGAAGATAGGTTTGGATTCATATGAGCACGAGTCTATTTTTGGGTGAACTATCGCTTTAATGAAGATAAGTAAAATTTTATTGTTATATACTGTAATCATCATCACATAGCCTTCCAAACCTGTTAATAGTCTCTTTTCTGGAATATATTTTGAAGAATATTGTTGACTAAAGTTTGGTTACCATTGATATATACTGTATAGACACAAAAACATAAAGTCATACTGGTTGTAAATGAGTAACTGATTAAACAATTGTTAATTCATTGAGTGAATTTTAAATAATGATGTATTTGTATAACAATTTCAAACAAGCAGAAAGTGTATTTACAATTCTCAAAACATAAGAGTTTAATTTGGCTTTACAGTAACAATATATCAATCTATCGATATTACACTATAGGCCTAATTTCTTATTTTATATGATTAATTGTTAAATTTAGTTTACTAAACTGGACTCAATATTAATAAATCTACTTGTAAATGTAATAAATGTCAAGAAATGGAAAAGTTATTTATTCAATTATTTAATTTAGTTATTTTAATAATAATTATTTAAATTATTGTGCTAGTTAGTTTCTATCTGTCTGTCTGTCTGCCCGTCCATCCATCCATCCATCCATCCATCCATCCATCCATCCATCCATCCATCCATCCATCCATCCATCCATCCATCCATCCATCCATCCATCTATCTATCTATCTATCTATCTATCTATCTATCTATCTATCTATCTATCTATCTATCTATCTATCTATCTATCTATCTATCTATCTATCTATCTATCTATCTATCTGGGCTAGTTAGTATCTATCTATCTGTCCGTCCGTCCGTCAATCCATCCATCCATCCATCCATCCATCCATCCATCCATCCATCCATCCATCCATCCATCCATCCATCCATCCATCCATCCATCCATCCATCCATCCATCCATCCATCCATCTATCTATCTATCTATCTATCTATCTATCTATCTATCTATCTATCTATCTATCTATCTATCTATCTATCTATCTATCTATCTGGGCTA